TTTTTAAATATTTTTTTGTTTACTTTTTCCCTTGTCAATATTTAGAAAACTAAATGTTTAAAGAGAGGACCACCTCAGCATATTTATTCAAAGTTTGGATCACTGCCTATTGTGGCTGAGAAGGTGAGAGGGGGAAAAATGAGGATACTTGGTCAGATAAACTCAGGCTTTGTTGTAAGTGATATTTAAATGCCATCAGTTATTTAAAATCGTTCTCAGCTATTTCTTTTCCCCCGAAGTCTGCCAGTGCAGGCCATTCCAGGAATGCAAGTACCCCAAACCTGCAGACAATGCAACATTACAGGCCACATATCCTTCAGAAACTGGCTGAAGTTTCTGAACCTAGATGTCTCTACAAGCCTTCTAAATCAACTTCTCAATGTGAAGCTGTACCTTCTGACTCAGAAAGGTCCATTTCCGTTTGTAACAATTTGTCTGAACTTTTGATGGCAATGCAAGATGAGCTGGACCAAATGACTATGTAAGTATTTATCAGAAGAAGGAGCAAGATATTTAGGTATCTTTTTTTCTTCTCAGTCTTTCAAACAGTGCCACTTATAAATTCTTAAAAGTCTTACTTAGCCATTTGGATTTATTTTGATCTGCAGATTTGTTGTCATTGATTTTTCATTATATTTGTTGTATTTAAATTGCATTTTAATTATCTATGTGTAATTACTACTTTTTCCAATTTAAAGTGTTTCTGTATTCCCAAGATCTGAACTGATAGACAGATATTTCTGTCATTCTAACAAATGGAGTCTGGTGACCTTAAATTGTAACTCACAAATCCTTTAGTAAGAAAGATTCTCCATTTGTTTTTTATAATCTTTTTAGTTAAATGAATGATTTCATTAGACAAATAGGAAAGCAATTTCTTGTTTTAGATTCTGGCTGGTCTGCATTACACGTTTGAAGCATCCATAGTAAACAATATTCTGTATGGGATATATATTTTAAGCTTCAAGTTTAAATATATATTCAACAAAAAGTCCAGAAAATATGTGATTTGGGCGGTCAGCTAGTTGAACTAAGACCTCTGTAGAAGATATAACTAGTTCTATTGGCAGTGTTTCTTTGAGTAGGCTATCACCAAATCTAGGGATTTCTCAGGCAAATACTTCTATAGCTGGAATTCTTCCACAGATTCTACATTAAGAATTCCAAACTTGGAATGAAAAAGAGTCCCTTAATGCCTCTAGCTAAGGACATCAGAATATTTTACTACATTTAACTGTAAACATCAAGGATTCAGACCTTTTTTTTAGGATTCTTTAAGATCCTAAGTCTAATATATTTCTAAATATATCTAATCTCAAATCATAAGAGCCTGTTTATAATTACCATAGATTTAATTTGATAACCCTACAGAAAGAGACTGTCTTTGAAGGTTAATATTTAACTCTGATTAAAATTTATGATTGAACAGAATATTGTCTAATTGTGACAAAGACATATACTATAAATTGTAATAGTGCTTGATATTTGCTTTTCTTTCATAGGGAGTACCAAGACCTTCTGAATCAAATGAAAGAAACTGAAAGCCAATCAGTCTGTGAAAACATAGAATGTGAACTAGAACATTTAGTCAAGAAAATGGAAATTAAAGGAGAACAAATTTCTAAATTAATGAAGCATCAAGACAATGTAAGAGGCTTTAGTAAAAGATTTTAATGAAAAGATAATGTATCTGGATTCAGTGTTATATCTCTGTATGACCTTCCAAATTTGAGGCCTGTATGTATGGCTTAGAGAAAAGATGATAGATAGGAATCCCTTAGGCTTATTATAGAGTCATCTGTCCATTGAAATAACATGGCCTCCTATGTAACTCTCCAAGATAATACAAAGAAAAGGAAACAAGGAAGTTTAGTTATGGGAAATTCCCTGGTGGTCCAGTGGTTAGGGCTCAGCCCGTTCATTGCTGGGGCCCAGGTTCAATCCCTGGTTGGGGAACTAAGATCCTGCAAGCCTCATGGTGTGGCCAAAAAAAGAAAAGAAAAGAAAGTTTAGTTATGTATTCAAAAATAAGTTTGGGAAAATTAAGAGGTAGGCTAGATTTGCTTTACAGCTCTCCCAGTTATCCTTTTAGCATTCTTTTCCCTTATCCCTCTCTTCCCTAATGCCTTAATGAAGCCCCTTATGTCAACAGGTGTCTAGTGCATATATAAACCTGGCTTCTGAAGCAGTACCCCAACTCTAAGACTGCTATTTCCAGTTTCCCAGAACAAGCTATGCTGTGTTCCATTCGCTGGGGACCTGTGCTCAGCTAGCTCTAGAGGGGTGATGAGGGGGACTCTATCCTTGTGTGTAAATTCTTAACAGCTAAGAATGGCATAACAGTTTTAATATTTTAATGAAAAAATCATGGAATATTATATTTTATCCCAAGACAATGACTCCATTCTTAGTATGATTATGCTACTGGAACAGAAAGCAGAGAAAATATTTCCAGGAACCCTCAGGTCATATCATGTAGCTATCTGCCTATGGAATAATCAGCATTCATATAAGTTGGTGATATATTAACCTCACAATTAAGCCTTCCCCACTTTTATAGGAAAGTAATAAAGAATGCAGAATTTTACTGCCTTTACTCTTCTATAGCCAATAAAGAAAGAAAGAAGGAAATGAAATTTTGAAGCAAACATTTTCACTTCACTGGCTTTTAAGTCTATAGTAAGTAAAATTTTTGTATGATTGTGTTAGGGTGAAGATTATATAACTTGTATACTTTCTTAGAATCACACAGGAGAAACTTGAAAGGAATAGAAGAATAGTCATTTTTTTTTAATTTAGGAAGTGTGTACATAAATAATATTTTGAAAATATTATTTATATTCCATAATAACTATAGCAGTATAAAATTTCAAGCATTTTTAGACAAATAGAACACCAGATACTTAGCCAATGTCTAGACCAGCTCTACAAATTAGGCTGTGCTTAAGTGAAATAGATTAAGTAATGGAGGGAATTCCCTGGCGGTCCAGTGGTTAGGGGGCACAGGTTGGATCCATGATTGGGGAGCTAAGCTTCCACTGCAGGGGGCACAGGTTGGATCCATGATTGAGGAGCTTCCACTGCAGGGGGGCACAGGTTGGATCCATGATTGGGGAGCTAAGCCGTGTGGCCTGGCCAAAATAAATTAATTAATTCAATTAAATAAATATTTAAAAATTTAAAAAAGATTGAGTAATGGACTGGACTTCGAAGAAATAGGTTTTGACTAGTTTATAAGTTTTGTTTAATTCTGTCTACCCAGTCACTACTAGATACTCCTCAATGAGATAAAGTTATTCCTTTGCCTTTTTTTTTTTAAACTGGCATTCAGTAGTACTTTAAATTCATGAATACTTTAAATTAAAAAAATATATATATATATATATAGACTCTATAAACTTGATGTCCATTCCTAGCATCAAATCTTTGCTTTATTGTTAATGTCACCTGAAAGGTCCTTCTCTCACCTCCCTGTTCTCCAGATTTTTCCCATTTCATATCTTACATAAACATTCCTTCCTCTCAGCTTCTCCAGCCCACATTGATCTTGTCCTACTTTTAGCCTTCTCAGATATATACTTTTTGTCCTACTCAAAGTTATTGTGGCTTGAATTATTCTCTAGTTGTCACATATATGCTTTGATTTCACTAATAAGAGCAGTAAACTCTTTGAAAGCAAAGATTGTTTTATTCATTATATTTCTGTCTAACTAGCACAGTGTTAGGCATGTAATAGGTATTCAATAAATAAAGACTTAACGAACTTTTTAATTTCATGTAATCTTTAAACCATCAATCCAATCCATCTACTGTAAGGTATATTTTAAGTATATTTTTGACTAAAATGTTAGATTTTTTTCTCTCCAGGTCCGCAAACTGCAGCAAAAAGTTCAGAATTTGAAGATAAGTGAAGCTTCAGCTATTCAGAAAGAAGATAGCAACTATAAAGGATCAAAGAACATAAAAAATAGCCCCAGAAAATGTTTGCTAACTAACTCTCCTCAAAAAAACAGCAACTTTCGTCCAATACGAGTCCATAATCTTCAAATGAAATTGAGAAGAGATGATATCATGTGGGAACAGTAACACAGTAGCAAAACTGTCACCTTAAATGAACTTTGTCAGTGAGATATTGAACTGTCTAAAGTGGTTTTAATTTAATATACCTTTATGAAATTTTGAATTATGTTTCTAGCCTCTATAAAGTGTCAAATTATAGTATTTTAAAATTAGTGCCTAATGACCTCCTAAGAGCCCCAAATAATAAATGATTGCTTTCTTGTTTTTCTTATTGACTGAAGTACCTAATCTTGTGTTAGAAACATTGTTCACTTTGCAGATACCTTAAGATAAATTTAAAAAATTATACTAGACTGATGATATTTAAAACTGAGTTAAATTTGAGATACAAGTGCCATAACACTTTTTCATTTAGTAGGCTTGGAACCTTAAGAACCAATATAAAATTAACAGAGTATGGAAAGGTCTTTTAACTTTCCTGGTGCTTCCTCCCTATCTTGTTTTAGAGCTGGGAAATGTTTTTCTTTTTTGGAAAGGGAAAAGCTTTGGGAAGAGGCCTTTAGCCCAAGTTTTTATGTGACAATTACAAATAGGAACCCATAGTTACTTAATTTTTAGATGACAGTAACTCAGCTGTGGAAGCCTTCCTCTGCTATTCCCATTCTCTTTTACAAATCTAGCTTTGTTTTTTTTGATCTTACTCCTTTGTAACTATATTTTTGATATTTTGATTAGTGGTGCCATAAGAGATTTCTTTGTACATATATGCTTTATAATAAATTTACATTTGTTGACCTATCTTTCCAGAAGCCTATGGAAACTAGTACAACTCTTCTGAACTTATTTGGTTTCTCATCAGAATCCTTTGGGGCAACTAGAGAACTGGAGTCATCAACTGAAGTAGAACTAGAAGACTGACAGAAAAGGCATAACGGAAGTGAGGAACTCAGAAGATAGGGTAGCAGTTTAAGAGATGGTGATTCCGAAGGAATTGGGAGGTACATCTTTATCTACAGCTGGGGGGATGTTCAAGCTATAGGTGTGAAAGAATAAAAAGATCAACATCTTGGGGAGCTAGGAAAAGCAATTTTTTAAAAGACAGTCCTTATATCCTCCTAGGAAATCCCAAAAAGTGTGTGTAGGAGAAAGAGGGTAATTGTGGACCCTCTGTTGGGGGAGGAGGAAAACTGTGATTCAGTCTCATTGAGAGAAGAGGTGCTGTTAGAAGACCTCTCCATACCTGAAGTGGGGAGATGACTGAAAATCGGCACATTTATACTTGGAATTGTCCTTGAAAGCACCTAATGGCTGAGATAAAAGTTTCTCTCCCTTTGGTTCAAATAGTACATTTGTCCTTCACCCACTTTCACTCCCTCTCCCTTTACAGCACCTTCAGCCCCAGAGATGTCACAGACTGCTTCGTATAAACTCAGTTTCATCACCTTACCTATTTTTCAACTTTGCCTTTTCTCCTCAAGAATGTGAGTGCTCGGTGCTTTGTGTCCACCTAGAGGGGTGGGATAGGGAGGGTGGGAAGGAGACGCAAGAGGGAGGAGATATGGGGATATATGTATGCATATAGCTGATTCACTTTGTTATACAGCAGAAACTAACACACCATTGTAAAGTAACTATACTCCAATATAAATGTTAAAAAAAAACCAAAACCTAAAACTCCAACAGAAGGTGAAACTAATTAACCAGAAATGAATCAAATAGAGAATTTGAGAATGAGAAAGCAGTGGTAAAGTTGTTCTAGTTAGCATAAGTTTTGTTTTAATAATAATAATCACCATCATCTAAAATAAAATCTTTGGAAACTGTGGTTGTAGAACAGAGGTTAAAATTGACGTTTCTTCAGGTTATTTCCATCATTATCTCAGAGTTTCATCTTGTTTCACGGTCTTCCTTTTTTTCCTTATTTTCCTAACCATTGTCCTTCCCTTTGAAAGCCATGTGCCGAGATAATCTATCCAAGATCATATTTGCTTAGTTCCTTCAAAGACCCTTTCCTCTCTCTGGTATTAGTCATTCAATTTCCTGATTTTACCCTTAATTTTGATTCATGAACTGCACCTTCTCAGCAATCTTGGCTTCATACTAACTGAATCGTGGCTGTCTTCTATGATACTGTTTTCTACTGAAATCTTGATTCTTTACATAGGGAGACATACATTTTCTAAGTGTTAACTTCTGATTTCCTTCATCTGTTTAAAGAATAATATTAGAACATTGAATAAACTACTTTGAATGCTTGCTTAATATATTCGTCATTTTATATATAAAAACATAAATGATCATTGCTAAGACAGCCTTATACAATTAATTTGAAGTTACTTACACATTTTTTAAAAATCTAACGTTGGATTAAGGTTTTGCATGTGTTCCAAGTTTGGAAAGACTTGAACTTAACTCCATTAGATGATGTCTCCTTTTGTGAATCCAATTCCACTATTCTATATACATTCTTCAGGAATTTCCTCTCTTTTTTCTAGAGATCTGTTCATCCAGGTCTCCTCTTCACTGCTTTAAAAAAAAAAAAAAACTGATAAAAAATGGCAGATATGCACACTTGCTGCTGTTGACACTTTGCTCTGTATCTCATTCTAATTTCCTGCCACCAACTCCCAGACTGATCTATATCTTGGCAATTCCCTGTGACAATCTGTTCACAGTACCATCTACTGTTTTAAAGATAAAGTCATTATTGTTACATCCTGAATAACAGTAACAAATGACCTTTACACACCTACTAAAACAATGACTTGATGATTATTGATACATTTTTCAATCAGGACTACAGCAAACGACCCTGATGCATGTTATAAAAATAGTAAAATTAGGGCTTCCCTGGTGGCGCAGTAGTTGAGAGTCTGCCTGCCGATGCAGGGGACACGGGTTCGTGCTCCGGTCTGGGAAGATCCCACATGCCGCGGAGCGGCTGGGCCCGTGAGCCATGGCCGCTGAGCCTGCGCATCCGGAGCCTATGCTCCGCAATGGGAGAGGCCACAACAGTGAGAGGCCCGCGTACCGCAAAAAAAAAAAAAAAAATAGTAAAATTAATTCAAAGGTTTGAAGATTTTTCCCTTTCCCCTTCTTCCCTTCCTATTCCAGAGATACTTCAGCTTTACTGCTAGACTGGCTGCTTTGTTAATGTCATCAAATAAGGCAAAGAGCAGACATATGCACATTGTTGTTTAACATACCACCTGAATCAGGAATACAGTAGCCCAGAATATTTTGAAACATATTTCAGGGCTTTTTCCAGCCGATCACCTCACCCAAACAATAATCCATTCCTCCCATTTCTGAGTGCCTGGGAGCAGTTGCCTTTTCAGATTTGGAGGGGACTTGGGTAGCATAAGATAAATTAGATTCTTAGTTTTGTATATTTGGCTTCTTTTTCCCTCTTGTCAGTATTCCACTTAAGCTGTTTCGTATTGTGCACCTTTCTTCCCTTCTCACCAAAGGGCTGACCTCAGGAGGCAGAAAAGAGCAGGCTTTGTTGTAGCTAATTAGAGAGGGTAGATACCTGGGACACTGGCTGGCTACCAGCATCACAGTAACTCTTGAAGATCTTTGCATTTAACAAACATTTGCCAAACATTTTATTATGTACAGGGCTCTGTACTAAGTTCACTGTTTTTTTGTTGTTGTAGGTTATTTTTGTTTGTTTTTCGTTTGTTTTTTCTTTCTTGAGAATATGTCTAACAGCTTGAGGTCTTTACATTAGTAAATCATATAACTTTAGTGAATCATAATCATAAATCCTAGAAAACTATGTACTAGGCCAGTTTAAGCCTGATATTTGATATTTCATATGGGAGCTAATTTCTTTGTTTCCTTTCTTACAAGATTATGTATATATATAATATATAAATATATATTTATATATTATATATATATATTTACAGTACACACACACACACACACACACCCTCTATATCTGCTTACAGTGCTCATTCCCAGTGTGTTAACCTTCAGTCTTAATTTACAAAGCAAACATCTCAAATCATCAATAATAAAATGTGCTGGTGTTCAGTAATAATGTATAAATTTCATTTTTTTCTTTTTCTATATAAAAAGAAAATAAAATTCAATTATGCTTAAAAAAAAAACAAAAAAAGAATGTGAGTGCTGTAGTTTATACTTAGCAAAAAACTCACCAGGACTATTAATGCAGCCCTATCTTTCTGTGCCTTTGTTTTCTATGCACTTAGGACAATGGCTGGATAGATTTATCAGTATTGAAGTCATTACTTTTGGAAATGTATTACTAAAACAAATTACCATAAGAAATTAAATTCATTTAAGGAACACTTGAATATTTCAATTAAGAATTGAGACATTTCTTGCAAAATCAGTGTAGTGTAGTAGAAAAAAACATAGATTTCAGAATTAGGAGACTTGGGTTCATGTTGTGATTCTGCCACTTAGTAGTTTGGGCGATCAAATAACTTTTTGGAGCCTCCATTTCTTACTTGTAAAGGTGGGATTATATTACTACCTACTTCATAGGATTGTTGTGAGATTAAATGACATAACATGTCAAAGCACCCAGCAGAAGTGTTGGCACTGAATAAAAACTCAATAAATGTTAAATCTGAGTAGCCAAAAAAAAGAAAAAATTGTCGTAGAACCTAAGTTTGCATGGGTTAGAGCCTGAAAGCAAGAGCCAAAAGGTACTCTTCAAAAAAGTGAGAATATTCTAATTTTTTTTTTTTTTTTCTTTTTCTATGTGCCTGGGAGGAAATTGCTTTGACTTGTTTCCTGGCTCAGGTTTCTAGTGGGGGGGTGGGTAAAGAATATAGTCCTACTATGGTGCAGAAATACATAATCACACACAGCAACTTGGTTTGGAGTTTGTGTTGTTGGGGTGACATTTATTAGGAAAGACAATAAGGAATGGTCTCTCGTTGCTCGATCACAATTACTGAACTCAAAATGTATCTCTGCTCACAGCCTGCTGCTTGCCTTTGACTCCTCAGGGGGTGGAGCAAATGATTTCCTTCCTGGATGGGGCAGTCTATGGTCAGTGTACAAGAGTTGCTGTAGCAACCCCGCAGCTGTGCTCTGCCTAGCAGAAATTCGGTAGGATATCATAGATTTTGTTCACTTAAGTAAAAACAGGTTTGTTTGTTTTTTATTTAATCAGAAATTGAAAAAAATGAAATTGGAACTTTTTAGCCACGACAGGTCTCAACTTTGATGAAACTGAAACTAGAAAGTTTGAGTGTCTGAAGCAGGAGGTATTGTGACTATTCTAATCCTGGAAATAGGAGCTGGGGTCTTGAATTAACTGTACTTGTGTGGGTCATTGGCAACATAGCCATTTTTATCAGATTGTAGCTAAAGGTAGGAGGGTTGGAGGGAAATGCTCAGTTTTTAGCAGTATAAGATTAAAGAAGGAGATACTTAATGCAGTGGGCTAACTGGCTAGGATGGTGTGCTTGAAAATTATTTCTGAGTTTTTTGTATAGCCTTCTTACTTTAAAAATAAAATTTTAACTATAAAGTAGTATTCTTAACCCATGATAAAACATCAAAAGTTAAATTAAAATTTGACTTGTGAGACATCAAACTCAGGGGAAAAGGTGGGTTGGTCATGCGCAATGGAAGGAGTGCTCACTGTAGCCAAAAATGCACCAGCTGCCATTGTTGGTGTAGAGTAGATAGTGAAACTCCTACTGGGGTTTCCTGGAACTCTATTCAGCTGTAACTAAAGCTGTACCTACGGAGAACATTTAATTGTATGTGAAGTTTAGATAAGTATAAGCCGACTCCCAGATGTATAACAAGACAAACCTATCTAAGGCATAAGAGCATCTGTGAGATTAAAAAAATTCTTTATGGGTGCCATGGCACCTTTTAGTTAAAGTAAAATGAGGATAAATAAAAATAATTGACTTGTCACTGATATGAAAATAAATTCACTTCTTGGTAATTAAATAGACCTTGCCAATGCCTCAGCTTTTTTCTTCATACTTATTTTCATGTAACTTTCCTCCTTTAATTCCTTTTTTTTTTTGTATTTTGTTACATAAGGAGAATTAGACATAACAAAATTGCAAATTTAAAGTTTTAAAATATTGTCTAGACCAGAGTTTGTTTTGAGTATAGCTGTAAATGATTTACTTAAAGAATCAGGTGGATTTTTTTCCTGGTGGGTTTTTTGGGAGTGTTCTCCTTATGGGTACAGTGTCATTGCATTCTCATTTGGTGCAAGAGCCTACTAGATGCCATAGGCAATCATTAGAATTATAACAGTACACCTCCACTGAAGAAATGTATTTTTATTATATATGCACGGTCCATTGTATCTTATGTGTTTAACAGTTTTAACAGAAAATATTAGAGAAGCAAATTGATCTCTTGTTACTTTATGCTCTGAGGTGGGTTTTTTTGACAATATAAGACTTGTAAATGACCAGTTCAACAGTCTGTAATGTTGGGAGACTGGATCCAGGTTGGAGGTGGAATGTTGGGCATTATGAATTTTCTGTCAAAGGAAGATAAAAAGTTCTATGAATGGTATAATCAGCTTTCTAGAATAATCTTCTAAAATAAAGATGAAGTTATCCACCATACTTTCTGCACAGATTTTGCTTGTCTAACTTCCCCTCATTCTTCAAGTTTCAACTAACTGCTGCCTCTAAGAAGCTCTCTTTAAGCCTCCTCTTCACACCCCTACCTGCTCCGAATTCTGGCTTAGCTGCCTTTTCTGGATATTTTTCCTATCTTTGCACTTTGCACATTTTCTTGTTATCATTTGTTTGTTTGTCTTCCCATAGACTGAAAGCTCCCTGAGGGCAAGATTCTTTCTTGCTCACCGCTGTAGCCCAGCACCTAGCATAATACCTGCCCTGTGCAAGTAGCCTCTCAATAAATATTTAATAATTACATTTCATGAAAATACATTAACCTTATTATGTGGTCTCATCCAGAGTGATCATATTGGGTCAGGTACTGCTGTTTCAGGCACCGGTTCAGCTATTCTGCTGTTTCATCTTTTAAGGATATGTGATCATATTTTACATAACCACTTGTTAAGAATACTTCAGTATTTTATTATTTGTTTCTTTGCGGGCACAGACAACAGGCACTCAGAATGATGCTTTCTTTGATATTATGATGCTAAGAGGAAGAGGTTTGAGAACCAAGGTAGTTCTTTACTTGTAGTATTGGTGTGTTTGACTTGTTCATTCAGCAAGTATTTATTGATCTCTAATAATCAAGGATTTGTTGATCTCAAGATACTTTGCTAGTTGCTATGGGAGATTCAAAGACGCATTATACATGGATTCTGTCTTCAAGTTGCTTATAGTCTGATAGGGGAGATAAAACTTATACATAAACATACAAGGAAAAAAAGCAATAGGTGACACAGAGGTATAATGACCAGCACAGAATAGATGCTCTAAAAATATTTGTCTACCAAACCTTTGTTTTCAACCATTGATAGATAAAGTTGGCCTGTTTGTATTTCTTCATTCACTATCTTTATATATATGGCAGAATTGGTCTCGGATTCTTAATTTTCTATAGGCTTGTTGATTGAAGATACCAGTTCACCTAGTAATCTCAAACAAGTACTGCCACATAACAAGCATCAAATTCAAAGACATGAGTAGAAAGAATGGGTATGAAACACGGAAGTAAATGGGAAGCGAGTGGAGAATGAGGGGGGCAAAAGTCAAGCAATAATGATTTAGACTGCAACAGAAAAATAATATAGAGACAAGTTATATTCCAGAGGCCAATTATTGACTTGCACAGAATTATGCAAATGATTGCCAGTCACTTTCCTTATGAATTTAAGCCATTCAGTTTCCTCATACTTCATCTTCCTTATCACTTAGGCCAGGTCAATATTTTTCAAACTGTAGCTCATATCCTATTAATGGATTGTGAAATCAGTTTAGTGGGTCACTACCAACATTTTGAAAATAATATAGAATAGCATTGAAACTATCAGAGTGCATCACACATAGAGAAGGTAGTGGTGTTTCATGAAACTTTGTGAGTACTGAATTATAATTTAAAATGTAGTCCTAAATGTTATTTGGAAAAGAAAAAGCCAGCTCTTAATAAATGTTCAAAGGGAATGAATTTGAAAGATGTTGTAGAGGAAAGTGAGATAGCCAGTTTAAAATAGGAATACTCCTGAGGACTTCCCTGGTGGTCCAGTGGGTAAGACTCTGTGTTCCCAATGCAGGGGGCCCAGTTCAATCCCTGGTCCGGGAACTAGATCCCACATGCATACCGCAGCTAAGAGCCCACATGTCGCAACTAAACATGCCACAAGGAAGATCCCGCATGTGGCAACTAAGACCCGGCGCAGCCTAAATAAACAAATATATAAATATAAAATAAAATAAATAAAATAAAACCAGGAATACTCTGAAATCCCCTGCTATGGCTTGTGGCAGACTACTGTTTAGCCCAGAAATACCATTTCAAATTTGTTTTGTATGTTCTACAGATAGAAGTCCCATTTTAAATGTAACGGTATTTACATTTGCTGGTCTATAGAATACTCTTTTCAAAACACTAGCCAACCTACATTAGAGGAGTGTTGTTTTTCTAATGTAGATACAAATAAATATATTCAACATGAATTCCTTAACAAATGGCCCTGTTACTCCTCACCCATTGTTTCTATCTAGACAGTGCCTCTGTGTGGAATCTAACCAAGCTTGGGTCTTATGGATAGGAAAGAAATTTTTTCTGTATGGTGCTTGAGACAACTTTAAAATGCATAAAGAAATGAGATTTGTGGGAGAAAAACTGTGTGCATGTCTTGAATCTGAAATGAGCAAAAATTTATCCCTTGACAAACCCTATTTGTCTGAGCATCAACAGTCAACAACAGTAAAAAAAATTTAAAACCTGATGTACCACCCACATGACACTCTTTAAAAACATGTCACTTTACTGAGCTGATAAAATATTTTTAAATGAGTGAATGGGAATATATAAATATCTTACCTGAAAAATACCTTCATTAAATGAACTAACTACCAACTGAGAGGCTGTATTTCTGTGACTTTTGATATCCTTTTCAACATATTTCTTCATGGCCGTATCAGCTCTGGGCTATGGTCAGAACATAGGAAGAAGTGCCATAAGGAAGTGAACATTAGAATGATGTTCATTATAATAGGATTCTAGTCACTTGTGAAAGTTTATTCACCACTACAAATTATTAAAGGTGCTTAAATCATTAAATAGATTTTAGTCTTTATGAAAAGAGGATTGTAATGTGAGCCAGACCTTCTAGTTGTAGTTAAAATAATATACTTTTGACCTAATTTTGTTTAATCTGATTAAGTAAATTTTAGGATAAGTTCTGAAAAACCTTGGAAGATATTCTTTGGTTAGTTTCCTTAAAGTTAAGTGTACAGGGCTTCCCTGGTGGCGCAGTGGTTGAGAGTCCGCCTGCCAATGCTGGGGACACGGGTTCGTGCCCTGGTCCGGGAAGGTCCCACATGCCACAGGGCGGCTGGGCCTGTGAGCCATGGCCGCTGAGCCTGCGCGTCCAGAGCCTGTGCTCCGCAACGGGAGAGGCCACAACAGTGAGAGGCCCGCGTACCACACACACACAAAAAAGTTAAGTGTACATTGACTTGTAGGGTATTTCTCAGAAAAATCTATTACTGAACTAGTACAGAATGTGAATCATTTCTTGCCTGAAATATAAGATTGCTGTTTACAGGGCACTTGTCCAGAATCTTCTTGCTGAATTGGAAAGTATTTCACTTTCCATCACTGTAGGTTCTTTTAACTTCACAAATGTGTTATTCAAAACGTAAACCCTATTGGTACACAGGAAACCCATTTAAAATTAAATTTTAAAACACTCTTGAGAATTCCATGGAACATTTTTGGTTTTATAATTTATAATTTCTAGCAAAAGAAAAAGTACCTTTAATACTTTAAAAATATATTTTCAGAGATAGCTAAACCCCAACTATGTAATACATGTGAAAGAATAGCACTATTAATATCTTAAATATTGAATGTTGGAGCATAAAATTAAAAAATTACCTTCATTTTCCCCAAAATAAGCTAAGCCACAAATTTAAAGCTGG